CCAACCAACACAATCTCAAATTTAATTTGTAAACAGGGCAAGTAGGGTCGTCTCCTCAGGGAACTGATAGGCAAATCACACAGGAAGATGGGGGGGAATTTTTAGCAATAGTACCAACTAATTAAAAAAGGAGTAAAAACGGAAATTCAAAGTTGAGTAAGATAGCAGGAACCAAATTACACAAATAACAATTAACTAAAACAACCTAGTCAAGGAATTAATCTTGGCACCGAAGCACACAACTGATCACAGATACAAGGGACAATTCATATACTCACGAATAAATTGGTTATAGTGGTCAAGCGACGCGCCCAACCACCAATCTTTCCTTAATTTTATGGTAGTCAAGAGACGCTCATAAACTACCCTCTTGTGATTAGACAACCCCAGAAACGCTCACAGGATTTAATGTAGCCACAGCATTAGGAATTAGAAAGACCCAATTCTAGATAACAAACACAAATGCGGGTTTATTTAGGCTAGATTAATTATTTCCACGATCCAAATTAGATCGCTTGCGTGACGGTGAAATTGTCTCGTTTGCCACTAATCAAGATGCTTAAAGGCAACGCGCCAACATCCTAATTGGCTATCAATTATTTAGACAATCGAATAACAGGTCTAATTATCCAAAAAATCTAAACAATAATAACTCAGGAAAAAATAGAGACTAATCAAATACCCATGAACATACAAATTAAAAATGAACAATTAAAACGATCTCACAGTTATGGTACCCCGATCCTTGATTTATTCCTCAACTAGATAAATGATCTAGCCTTGCCGCATAGTCATGACAACAAAGCCATTCAAAGTTTTCATAGTAATTTCATTCCTCTCGAGAAATCTAAAGATGACGGCTCGTTCCCTTCAAAGATAAAACCAACGAGAGAATAAAAGGGTTTTAGATAGATGATGAATTCCAGCCCACGTCTGTTTTCTCCCCTATTAATAGGGGATAGGCTCCTCTTTCCTTTTAAGACTCCTAGTTCCCCTAAACTATCCAACTAAGACCTTTTAATTGAATTTCCAAAATAATTACATCGAATCATGGCCCCTCAAGGTCTTCAATCCGTGGCTAATGTGTCAGCCCATGGGATGCAACCGGCTCCTTGACCAATTGACAGATTTATCTTGTGTCTTGCGAACTTTTGACTGCTTTGCCAAATAAGGCGTGGGCACGCTTTATAACGAAAGCTCTTTTGGACATGGACCTTTAGAAGCACCACTTCGAGTTTGATAAGGCGTGGGCACGCTTTACAAGACGTCTTCTGGAAAGTCGACTTTTAACGCGCCTTTTACTTCATTCTCACTAACAACTCCTACAAACAGTACCAAAATTCAAATATGAGTGAAATATATCGATTAACGCCATATTTTAGCAAAACAAAGGGGATAATATGTACCAATTATATGCACAATTAGCCACTTAACAAGAACAAAGAGGAAACCAGAATCGATTCTACAACTAAAGGAAACCTATTGAAACTTGAAAACCTAGTTGACTTGGGTTTATAAACAAATCCTAGTTACACTTGGCTTACCAAATTCTAATTGGAACCTTGTGCCACGTAGGAAACCTCTACATTCAGCCGAAACACCTACCCAAAAAGGTCCAAGAAGCCTTGTCTTACACCTTCAAAAAATAGCCAAGTGCAAGTCGGGTAAGTCCTTTTAGGATCCGAAAACTACAGCCATCTTTCTTGCTTGATTTGAGTCGGTTGAGTCCTTTTTTTTTATTATTGAGTCTAATTGTCTATTCTCCTAGTTGATCAGTCCGAGTCAAGTTTTAGTTAAGTTATTCATCTTAGTAATCGAGCTTCCAAAATCAGCTTCGACTCTCTAAACATACATTCCCCAATTTACGTGCTAAGTGACTCTTTCCTTGGTAGGCCATTGAACAACTTTTGAATTGATCTAACTTCTTCAAGGGTGAAATCAAAGTTTTGAGAATATTTGGCGAGCTTATAATTAGAGAGTTTAGTGTGTGAAAACACGAGTGTGAGTGCATACACATGAGGGAGTATGTGAGGTAAAATTATCTCCTTTCACTGCTAAATACACAGTTTTCACTTCACCATGGCTAACGAGGGAGAAACAAGCTCTCAAGCTTTCAAATTTAAACTTTTTGCAGATGCAATAAGGGAAGAATTCAAGTAGATTTTGGATGAAACTTTTGAACCTCTTCACAAACGACTTGATCGAATAGAGAATAGGGATGTAAAAAAGAGGAGTTCTAAGCAATCTACCTCTACAAAGCCAACCTATTCAAGGAGAAAAGAGACCCCATTAGTTTCTTCCAAGTCTAAGGTTGAGGTTGAACCATTTAAGGAGGAGTTGTGGTGGGAGACTTACCAAAGCCTTCTTCGGTCCAAGGAGGAGTTGTGGTGAGGTCCAATTTCACCAAATCAGTTTGCATACTTTGCAGGCTTATTCAAATTTGAGCAATTCGACTTCATGGGACCTATGCCGCATCACTTTGAGGATCCTTACCTCATGGCCAAAGGCGATCAAATTGAGCATACATTGAAGTTGGTTCGTAAGATTCAAGGCTCAACAAGGGTTACTTTCCAATTTAGCAAGTGGTTTTTGCATTGGAGGAAACTTGTGGTAATCATAACAAAATTGACTCAACGGCATGTAACTCCTTTTGTCATCATTCATGTTTCAATTTGCGAACAAATTGCTTTCAAGAGGAGGGGAATGATACGAGGGACCACCAAGGCTCCAAGGTGCTGATTCAAATGGCTCGAGTGAGGCGCTAAATGCACCATCAATGAACGTTGGACCGATGACTCTAGCAAGGGCAAGAAAGATGCGAGAGAACCTCCAAACATTTCTACAAATCGTTCATACACGCATAAGAAGGATTCAAGAGTCCAATCACACGATGGTGAGCCTACTCCAAATCCATGAGGAAGTCGCGGATGACTAGAGAGAGGGCGGACTGCATGATGGGCCTCATCATCTAGTTAAGTGTCTAGTATAGGCTTGAGAATAAGGCTGGGCAGCCCATGTGGGCCTTAGTTGACCAGCCCTTGTCCATTTGGGGCGTAAGAGCACTTTCCAAATTCGGTTGATAGTTTCCTTAGTAAGTTAGGTTTAGAATTAGTTGGAGTTAATATCGTTTTCCATTGCTACTTAGGATTTCGGTTCATGAACCCTATAAAAAGAAGGGTTGGCCGAGTTTTATTCATTCAATCATCAATAAAGAAATTTCAGTTTTAACAGTAATTCTCTTAGCGTCGGTTAACCTTTGAATATCTTAGATTGGTTCTATGTATTCTTCTTGGCTTATCAAACAAGAATCAAAATTGTTCGTGGCACCATTCTACCAAAATCATAAGTTCCTTGAATCTTTTCTTGAGGATTAAGAATTAGTCTTAGTTCTCATCTAAGGGATTCTAAGGAGGTTTAGGGTTTCGTGCAATCAAACCTTGCAGTCACGTGTCTAGATCCTGTTGTTGGAATACAAGCACGGTTGGATTCGTATCAAATAAGTTTTTCCATGCCATTCTGGACAAGGAATTGGTACTTGATCATTGGATACGATCATTTCATTATTGTACTTTTCAATTCTCAACATTCCATGTATCAATGATCAGAAAGCACAAATGATAGGGTTTACGGACACTTCCAACCATTAGAGTGAAGCGTTGGTACGTGCCAACCCAGACGTATATTAACAACATATATACAAGAACAGGTTAGGAAATATTTTTGTTTCTAACAAACCCGCTTTAGGTAGATGTTTACCAACGTACAAGATACCAGCTAGTTATTAAAACTCTATGTGCAATTAAATCAAGAAGATGTCTAGTAGTACAGCATTTGTAGTCTAGATATGGATTTATCTTTCTCAAATTTTCTTGGCTCAGATGAGCACAGCATATTTATTGTACTCAAGATTAATTTGTTCGTATTCTCATTTGGAAATTTTCCCAGCAGATGAGCGGGCATTTGTTTCATCTGATAACGATTTAATCTTCTTTGAATTCCTCATCAACCCAAAAAAAAAAAAAAAAACTAATGGCGATGCAATCCCACCCAAATGTCTCATTTGGTGTCATGTAATATTGTAATGCCCATCTGGAATTTGGTGTTAGGCCCCGTGAACCAACAAGCCCAAGGTATACCTTAATCCCAAGAACTAAATATTTGGGCCGAGATCTCAGAGAAAGCCTACATCACAAAAGGGCTGACATGCAAAAAGAAAATGCCCAACCTATTTTAAAATAATCTAAAATGTCTCGCTAGCCTTCTCTGGACCGTACCCATCTTCATGGATTTGCAAATGTTTGATGAATAATTTCATATTTCTCTATTAAATAAATAAATAGATAAATAAATGTCATATTTCTTGTATCACTGCTGGTAAATGATTTTTCGTTTGATTTTCCTTAGATGTCAAGAGAAGAGCAAATTTTATTTATCTCCGAATAAACAAATTTTTGGTTGGGGCGGTAATGTTCCTTCAAAATTTCACCTCAAAAAAACATATTTAAAAACTGATTATTTGATTTAAATTTTTCCTTCATGAAGCTAGACGGTAGTTGTCACAAATAAACTGCGTTCTGTATTTTTCCTCCCCACCTCCAAAAACATGAAGGACCCAATGAGATGGAACTGGGCTACCGATAAAATGTAGAGTATGTCTTCCATTGCACGTAACCGGCCCGTGATACAGATGGTCTCAAAAAAAGTTTTTATGTTTTCTGTGAATGCATTTCTCGATTACTTTGTAACTTCTTATATATCATATCGTTATAATATATTTTTAAAAAAAAACTCAAAAAATAGCAATCCAAATGTGCTAATAAAATCCGTTAGAGCTTGGTTAAAACTTAAAACAGTTTCACTTAACGTGACTGAAAATTTTAAAAAAAAAAAAATTAAAATAAGGTTTTTTTTGGAGGGGGGGGGGGAATGAAAGTGGTGTACTACTACCTAATAAAATTTATGTAGTACAGATTTGACAGTACAGACATATTTTGCTTTGCGCCTCATGCTGATTGTGTAGTACACATCCAAATGGCATACAAATGGCTACATTATACTAACGACCCCTGATAAGCTGTGACAGACCAATCTCAATTCTAAGGGAGTAGGGCAATCATTGAAGAACATAATTGGAACAATGAATGGGCTCGTCCTTTAGAGACTGCAAAGAAGGTAACTTCTCTACTCTTTTCTTTGTTTAGAAAATTTCCAGAGGTGCATCATCCATGCATGGAACGAGTCAAATATTAAGTGGAAAAAGATCTGCAGTCCATAGCCTTCAGCCTTGAGGGGCTTCTTATCTTGTTCTTTATTTATCATCCCAAAGCATTTGTCGAAATTTTCACCTTCTTTTTCTCCTCTTAAATGCAAATTGGACCGAATAGCTTCGCTAGTCCTTTTTCAGCCGTTGGCATCTCGCGAAAGTGAAATCCATCCGGGAATGCAGGTGTTGTACGTGTTTTTTGTCTTTGTATTTGCATCGCCAGGGGGCTAAAATCAGTAATGGCCTTATCCTTTACTAGTTGGATGGATTTTATCCGTAAGAGCTCGTGGGTGGCCAGAATGGCTGCGGGACCAGAGTATCGTTGTCTGTACACGTGATTATAAGGATGTAGACGTTCAAGTCTCAGAGTCAAGAACATGATACAATGAATTACTTTGGTTCTACGAATGCAGAAGGCAAAAGAAGAAGGAAAAAATCATGAAAGAATTGTACATAATTTCTGGTTTGGCATAGAGGTTTGGCTGTTACAAATAGATAATTAGAAGTAATTAATAGAAGGTTGAGATGATATTTGGGAGGAGGAGTAGTTAGCGATTGGATGGATTGTTCTTTAGAAATCAAAGGGAACGTAAAGGAACGCTGCTACGTACAAGTGAAAACGAATCCAAAGCAACGTAGCATCATGGATGCTGGATGCATTTGAACATCAAATCAGGTCCTTTTCCGGACAGAAAATATCTATCGTATCAAATGAAATCTAGCATACTCTCACTTTTCCTGCTCGCCTCTATTCAAGCGTCGAAACAACTAACGTTCGTCTGCACAAAATAGGGGAAAAGTCTTCATCATGCCAGCACCCACGAGAACTAGAGCTACAATAGTCCCTCACGTTTGTATATGACCGGTAGAAGACAGAAAAACCAATTAGTCTTAACGTTTGTTGCAATGTCTGGAATAAATGGACTTCTTCCTTCTCCGGTCTCTCAATCCCCGGTGATGAGCATCTTTGGTCTTCAACAGCCCTGTCCCTCGATTGACTAATAGAAGCCCATCATGATTTCTTGGTGAATATTATTATATTTAGCCTTCTTGTTATGACCGATGGACCTTATAAATTTATAGAGGAAAATCAACAGCTTCTGGTTATATGCCGAACACAGTAGTGTTGTGTCTTTCTTTTAATAGAGTTGAATGACCCCACCACTAGTACTATGTCTAAGTCCAAATACAAGAAAGTAAAACCAATACCCCTATCTATTATTTGGATAGAGAGGAACTTTTTATCACATGGGAGGTTTTGTGCCTTTTTCCAATTTCGTCGGTTTATTCTTTTTTCCTTTGGTAATTTCCTTTTCATATTTGTTCTTTCCAAATGTAGGGCCAAACTACAACCATTCAATTGATTTTAGTGGCAGTGACAGATGTACAGATAGTTCAATTTTCTACAAATTCCAAATGTATAATTCATTGGACAGAAATTAGGTTTCTGTTCACCATAATTAATTTGCAAGTATACAAACCAGCTAATCATCACACCAAAAATTAGTTTTTTTTTTTTTTATCATTGTAGATTTCAACTGCAAGGCTAAGCATAATAATTACTAATTAGTGTGTTTTTTTTCCCTCGTTTTTCCCTTTTTCAAGAATCCTCATTTACTATCATATTAAATTCTGATGACGACAGGCATTTTTGATGGCATCAAATTATTGGTCGGTCTTGGTCCCACAAGACTGCAATATATGGTAAATTTGACCGATAGCTATTTAATGCAGAGTGAGAGAGCCAAGTTTGTCAAATATTTCGAATGGTAATCAATCTACAAGAATAGAGAATTCACTTATATAAAGTTATATTAATCTTTATCTGTCCTATTCAACTTTTCTTTTAATTGTTCAAAGAAAATTTCAAGCATTATAAGGGAAAAATGAAGAAAACAAGGACTTAAGAGTCGGACCAAGAATTTTAAAGACACTTGCTTAGATCGTTTTACAAGAAGCAGTTGCACACAAGGAAGATGTTAGTGTTTAAGTGGATGCTCACTATAACAAGAACGCCCTTAGAATTCTAAGAAAAATGTATAACAGCTCATATTATACACTTAACACTAAATTACACTTCCAAGAATTCAAGGGGAGATCCATGTCGTGGTCGTGAAACTTTGGGTAGGTTGGCATATTATTACCCTATTCCTATAAAGTAAATGTACATTAAAAAATAGGAGCCGGGGTCAAGCCCTTTTAACTTTCATTCCTATGAATCATTAGGCAACTTGAGCTAGAAACTAATCAATTCCTTTGTTGTTGATCAAGCTTTCACATGTGCTGCAGATATTCTTATGTATTGAACTATTGATTGTGAAAGTAGGAGAATATAAAGTTCTGTCTTCACAAATTAATAAGGTTGCACATGAAATCAAAAGTGGTATATGAAATGAAAAGTGGGATCGCACAAATTTAAGAAATCACCTCTTTCCTCAACACACAAAAAGCAAGGATCATTATTATTGTAGAATTCCCTTACTTTTTGTAACCTCTCCTATATTCTTTTTCAAAAAAAAAAAAAAAATACTCTCCTATATTTTGGTAAATTAAATGTATAGTCTATCTGACTACTTGAAATGGCGAATCGGAAGCTAACACTTGTAAGCTTTGCCAAACGTGGTACTTGAGGATTACTTTTTGTTTTCCTTCTGGATACGCACAGAAAAATTTAATTTTGATTGAGGAAGAATTGTCTTTTTCTATTTCTTTTTTTTTCCTTTTTTTTTTGAGTGGAGAAAGTTAGATAGATGGCGTCATAAGATCTTAAACTTTAATGTAAATTAAACTTTTCAAAAAGAAAAACCAAAAGGGACGTTGTCAGATAGGTGCTGAAACATATTTTTATTAACTGGTGACAAGCACACCAGAAGTATTTTATTCATGGTGCTGAAACATGCATGCATAGGTCAAAATCAAAGCAATCGATGAAATCTAATGCCAGATTTTTTCCCAGGGAGGAGATTAAAAAAAAAAAAAAAAAAGTACTAGCAGGTGAATCAAGCAGCAACCTCAATCTTGATGCTATCAATGGTAAGAGCAGTTTTGGACTTTGGCACCAAAGTCACCAACAGGGCATCGTCTTCTTCAACATCTAAGTCCTCCAAAATCTCAGTCAACTCAAAGGTTTGAGTAGTCTTAACTTTCATGTCACCTTTAACCTTGTGTGGCAAATGTGCAAAGCTCCCAACATACTCGGACTTAGCAAAATCGTTTGGATTATCATCTTCATCATTAATGAAAACATCAAACTTAACATACTTGTCCATGGAAAACTCGATCCCGGACACCACCAATCTCTCTTCCTCCTCCTCCTTTTGCTTCTTGCTTCTTGATAATTTGGGCCTCTTGACCAACACTTTCACGGTCTTGTTAAGGGGTCCCGGGAAGACCTTATCAGCTTGTGGTGCCCCGGAAGTGAAAGCCACCCTAGATTTTGTCACGCGGGCCACGGGCTTATTCTTGACCCAAGGAATATCCACCTTTTGGTAAATATATCCCATTTTATCATTGCTAAAACAATCACCAACTTTCACGCAGACAGGCTGAGCATTTTCATCGTAGAAAATGAAGGAAGAATTCAGCCAATCTGGATCGGGGACCTCCTTCCTTTTACCTCCCAATTGCTGCCAAATTGTCCACATCCGGTCCACATTTGCATGATGGCTATAGAACACAATATCTCTTCCAGCTGAGTAGAAATTACCCATATCTTCACCATTTGGCTGCCTTGGATCGCCGACCCACCTGTGGATTGGGATATGGGGAATGGCCTCGATGGACCCTGCACCCGGGCTGGGCGCATCGCCGGCCCGGTATTCCTTTCCAAAGAAATCTTTGGCAGTGGTGGAATTAGTGACCATTTGACGGTACATGATTGCCAAATTGTTTTTTATCCTTTCTATGTCTGTTGCATCTGTATCCGTACCATTATACCCCAAGTCCACGACTGTTGGTGGCAGATGACTTTGGTTACGATTTTGGTTATACAGTGCTGACGATTGGTCCTGAAATATGGACGGTAGGGTCATACCACCAATGTTGTCCCAGTTCCAAAAGGGCAGTCCAAAACTGGGATCGCCTATTAGCTTTCCCAAGATTCTTTCATAGAAGTACAAATACCATCTATGAAAAGGAAAGAATAGCCACGAGTTATGGACTTGAATTTCTTGATCAGAGCCTGATTGGATGTAGGCACCGTTGCAATAAGCGCAATGAACATTTGCTTGTTGGGTAAAATTACGGGGATCATCAGCTGGCAGAGCTTTCATGAGCTCGACCGCCTTGTTAAGTTTTTCAATGTAGTCTTTCTTGACCAAATGAGCAGCTGGCCTAAAACGGTTCACCTTAGGTGGTGGAGGGAGTTTGTAGTCAATGACTTTGCCGGGCACCGGCGGACAGCAATTGTCAGTGACAACTGCTCCTGAAGGTAAGTCCGCCGGTGGACCGCATTTGGCGATTTCTGGGGCAGCTATAGGAGCTGCCATGGCAAAAGGGTTGATGATGAGGTTTGAGGCGCCATAAAGGCCACCCAAGCCCAAAAGCACATCCCTCCTATCAAGATTGTTAACTTGTTCATGGCTTTCATTGTTTTTGCATGAAACCGTGAACTGGTGATAGTTACGTTTGGCACTGAGGTAAAACTGTGATGGCTTCGTAGAGAAAGGGCAGGAGGACAGAGTAGAGGAGGAGGAGTAGGCAGTGGAGCTTTGAAGGGGAGTTGAAAGAGATGCCATTGGCTAGTTTTCTTTAGGGGGATTGTTGTAGCGAAGAAGCTGAGGGAAGCTCCTACTCTTATACTGAAGCAATTGGCGACCCCGTGTCACTGACGTTTTTATTTTTCTTCTTGCTAAATAGAAGTACAGCGTTAAACACGTGCTTGTGGCTAGTGGTGTTTTTCTTCTTTTTTTTTTTTTCTAGGTTGGTTATTGGTGTTCTTTGGTGGGTGTAATTGAAGAAGGATGCAAGGTCAGTCGCAAAGTCTACGATGACTGCTGCATTAATTCAATAGGATAGGATCAATAACATTCTACACAATTTGAAGGGAATTGGAGCAAGTACAAATGTACAATTGAGGTTTGATACTTTTTGGGAGATTTTATTGGCACTTTAAAAAAAAAAAAAAAAAAAAAAAAAAAGAGAGTCCCGAGCATTCTATCCTCCATCCCGTCCCTTTTTTGTGCTCTTCCTGCAATACATCGTCTCTATATGTTTTAAAGGGAGGATGGAGTGTTAGAAACTTTTTTGGAAGTGTTAATATCATTTTTCTGTTTTTTTTTAGATGTTGGTGTATGTTTATCAATGTAGTTTTATTCATATATTAAATTAATAATATTAGTGTATGCCAGATTGTGTAAAATATACACAATCAAATAATTGCATAGAAGCCTTTAAAAGTATTGGTGGTGCGGGAGATTAAGGGTTCGATCCTTGTCTCTCACCCAAAAAGTTGTTACAATTTATGACGATCTTAATTGGTCATGTTCGATAGAGTCACATCGAGTCCCCCTCCCCCTCCTCCCCTCGATTAGATTAGATTAAATTCTAGGAGAGACAAAAAAAAAAAATTTGCATAGAAACCTAAAACGCACCTGTCCAAACCCATTCGAGAATGATAGTCTAATTAATGTGGATAGTGGAGAGCAGAAAGAAATCTTTCGATAATGTATAAATGGATAAATGCTGAGACTGGACAGCAGAACTCTACAAATGCATGGATAAGTTCGTGTGGTGTTTACAAAAACAAAATATTTTAAATACAATATTATAGTAATATACAAACAAAAATAACTCAAAAAATATTTCATTCATACAATATATTAAATATTTCAAAAAATATTTATAATAAAAGTTTTTCATATACAATGCTATAATAAAATATTTCAAAAACACTCTCAAAAATAATTAATCCAAATGGAGCGTATGTTTTTTAATATGTTGTTGGAGAATAAAGGACCACAAGCAAAGTAATTATAGTTGTTTGAGTAATAATAAAAAAATTCAATTAGCCAATTTTGTATTGTTTGGATTATTCTGATATAATATGATATTTCGTTCAAAGTATTAAGTTAAAAAACTTTTTTCAATACCTTTGAGAAGAAAAGGAAAATAGATAATATAGTTTTGATATTTCAGTGCAATCTTTTAATTGAGCATAAATGCAGCGAATAAAAAAGCAGAACTTGTTCAATGACGGTCTGCTTGGATATTATAGGTTCGTTTGGATAAGTTATTTTTTGGAATTTTTTTGAAATATTTTACTATAGTAGTGTGTCTGAAAAATTTTTACTATAAAATTTTTTTTGTGATTTTTTGGAGGAGTTTTTGAAATATAATTTGAAGTACTTTTTAAATTTAAAATATTTTTAAAATATTTTTTAAAAATTAATACTATCACCTACAACCACAACCGTCACCACTCTTTCTCTTTCCTTTTCCTCCTCCCCTCCCTTTCCCCCCCCCACCCTTCAATCTTCCCCTCCTCCCCTGGATCTGGTCGAGGAGAGGAGGAAGAGGGTGGTAGTGGTGGCAGTGGTGGCGGTGGCGAGTGGTAGTGAATAGTGGAAAATATTGTAAAATTTTTTAAAATTTTTTGTGTATATTTGTGAGTTGTTTTTGATTTATTGTATGAATGAAATTTTTTTGAATTGTTTTTGTTTTTGTATTACTGTAACATTGTATTTGAAAAATTAGTTTTTAAAAAGTAGACCAATCCAAATGAAAGTGTTTATTTAAAATTTTACTATGTTTATTTTTAAAAAATATTAATATTAATTCAAAATTAATATTTTCCCCTCCCCCACCAGGCCACCACCCATCACAGACCACGGCAAACTCCACCTACCACCAGTACCTACTCCCACCATCAGTGCCTATTTCATGTTTTCTTGTATATTTTTCAAATTGTGTGATTGTTTTAAAGTGTTTTCGTAATTGATATTTTAAAAAAAAAATTTCTAAAACAAGTTACCTAAACCACGTGGGGCTAGCCGAGGGTTTAATGGAAAAAAAGTTATCTAAAGATATCCATTGATTGGACAAATGCATGCACATACGTGGATCAGTTGGCGCGATATGATGGCCCACAGACACCTTTTCAATTGTCTATTGTAGATTTTGAATAATTGGGTTAAGATTCAAGGACCACAAGTAAAGTGATCATTAGTGTCATTTCAATAATGCTTGTAAAATTCATCCCACAATTTGACAATGTCTGGATGTACCCTGATATTGTATGATTCATTGAAATCATTAGACCCCATTTGGATTGCAATTTTTGGAGAATTTTTGGAAAAAAATTATAATAACATTTTTTAAGGATGTGATGTATGTAAGGTTACAAAAAAAATTATAAATTATATAGAAAGAACATTCATAAAAAATGTAAAAATATATGTCCAAAAGATCACAATCCAAAATTTTCAGAAACTTGGGGAAAGTAACTTTGGGAATAAAATGAAAATAATTCAAATAATTTCCCTAAGATTCTTATTTCACTACTATTTGTACACTAGAAGAAAATTCTTTTCTAATGACATTAAAAAATGGCAATTTATGCATACGTTAGTGATATATATATTTTTATTTAGTGACATTTTCTTGTTGGCGACTACTGTCCAGTGGCACTTGAAAAGTGGCACAAAATAATACTACATTTTTTTTTTTTATCAGACGACAATAATTAGTCTAGTTTATTCCTATTTTAATCTATACTAGGGGGAGAGATCCAACGGAATCTAGAGAAACCAATGGAAACTGATCCATCATCAGATCGTATGAATTTAAAAAAATCACATATAATAACATATTGATGGGAGACAAAATTTGAACCCATGATCTCTTACCTTACCAAGATTTAGCGTCTTTAGTGTTGACTAACAATCCAAAGGGCCATTGGTTCCAAAATAATACTACATGGTATGGGAAGATGCCACTTTATGAAATTTTAATGGCAATTGCAAGCGGCATGCGTTGAGTTGCCATCGCACTTCAAATGCCACTATATAAAGCTATTCTAACACTTTCAAATGCCACTAAAAAAATTAATCGCATTAAAAAAGTAATTTGAATATTAACAAACCAATTGATCATGTTCATCTATGCAATTAATTATAATATTGCAAAAATGCTACAAATAAAAAGAATTCACAAATGACTATTAAATAAAGTCAGAAATGAAATAACAAACACATCGATATTTCTTACAAATTTAATACATTTTGGTGAACGAACCATGTCTAAAAACAAATCTTTTAAGCTAATGACTAAATAAGTTTATCTCTTTGTTATTTTAAGTAGTTTTTTTCCCAGTGGCGTCATCCTTTGTTAATCCTTCAGTTGCATTGTGGCCTGTACGTATCTTAAAAAATATATATAAAGTAGACATATTACCTCTTACTTTAGAATTGGACATGGCAAAGGAGCAAGTCAAAAACTACATAGAATACATGCGCAGAGTAAATTAAATGAAACCATAGAGTCTTGTTATTTTCACAAATGGCAAAACCATCCACTTGGGCAACTTAGAGTAATCTCAACAGGTTCTTAATTAAAGATGAGTTTTTCTCATCGCAAGATGAAAATTTGACCACAGCTGATCTTTTAAACCAGCTAAAAGTGACATGAAAAGTGGATAAAGAGTTGTACCTCATTGGTTAACTTTTAAAGGCTCCTTGAGAACTGTGCCAATGTTTTCGCGTGGCAAACAACTCTCCTATCCTTCCCAGAAAATTCTCTGTCCTATAAATTAAGGGCCGCAACACTATCCATCACGAGAGTAAATCCAGATCACAAGAAAATTGAAATTAATTCTTTACAAACTTACTTTGACACAAGAGAGGATGGGATGGTAGGGTTTTTGAAGAATGTTGAAAGGAGGAGAGATTTCAACGAGTTTTAATAATTAAGACCTCCTTTAATACTTACGATCGAAATAATGGAGTAATTTAAGGAACCATCATATCTTATTCATTAGAAAGATAATTTTTGTTTATATTCTATTTCATTTTAGTTTTTATGAGTTGATTCCTTAAATTCTAGTAAAACTTGTGTTCCAATGACATTTTTCAATAAAATGTAAACTAAATTGTGACCTAAATATATATTTGATGGCACTGTGAGAAAAAGTACCGCTGAGCCAACACATTTCTCAAGTAGAGCCATGACACCTTTTTTCTAACAAAATGCCACTAAAATCTTGTATAGTGCCACTAATTCCATCTTTTCTTATAGTGGTATTCCAGTTACGGGCTACTACAGATTTTTGTCATTTTCGTTTTTGGTCCATAGGGGCTCTCTTGAATAAAGTATATTTTGCTTGTGCGTCTTCTTTTTCTCAGGCACCACAACTACAGTTGAATTTTATTCTTCTCTTCCACGTAGTTATTCAGCAAGAAAGAATAGCTGTCACGTTCACCTTTCAAGTAGGTTGGAGTCCGAGGATATATTTGGTTGAGAATTATTAGAGAGATCATATATATCTTCCTCCTAAGTCAACCAAAATTAGGCAATTATTATTGTTCGCTTCCAGAAACTGTAAAAGTTCTAGGAAAAAGAAATATTTTATTGATTTTGTCAATTCTATGATGAAAGTTCTTATCACTGGATGAATATCATGAATGTAATTAGTTTTTTTCTTTTTCTTTTTTTGGGTTGGGAAGGGGAGAGGGCAAAAGGTCATCTCTTCATTTAGCTTACTATTTATTGTACATACCTTAAGGGCCTCAAGAGGAAAATTCCGAGGAAAATTCCATAACACGAGTTTTGGGACTGCAAATGAGTTGAATTGAATCAAATTTTGATCTAATTAAATTGAGTCTCGACGTAATTGTACCAAATTTAAACTTGATTTCGAGCTTGACGAACTCTCAATTTAAAGTTTAAACTCAAATTCGAGCCAAGTCAAGCTCGAACTAGAATTTAAAAAATATATATATTTTATTTTTAAAAAATAAATAAAATAGTAATTTTTTTGAACATATTATAAGATATATGTAATTTCACTATATATATATATAATCGAATCAACTCGTGAGTTAGCAAAATTTGAGTTCAAACTCGATTTGATCAGTTTGAATTTAAATTGAAATTAGTGTTAAACAAGTTCAAATTGAAATTTGACCGGAACTATTCGCGAGTAGGTGAATTTGTATGTAGCTCAAATGAGCTGTCATTTGCTCTCAACGCTAACGAAAGAAAAAAGTTAGGCAATCAAAAAACATTTGCAATTTTTCTTGAAAAGATGATTACTTCGTACGGTATGCGTTACTTTTTCAGTCTGACAAGCTGTCAAGTAAAAAGTACTTTTTCTTTCCAATTGGCTAGTTATCATTATTAAGAAATCTAATTGTTATTTTTGTTTTCTTTTGAGACTGTCCCGAAACTATTTTTTTTTCCCCAATTGTCGCTGAATCAAAATTAATGCTACTCCGTACAATTATGCAAGTTGAGCTGCAGAATAGTGGAACAACCACATTCACAGACCCGTGATGCCGTGACAGAAAATGACAAACAATTGGTCGACAAAGCTGTGCAAAAGTCTCATAATTGTTGTCCGGACGACGCATCAATAATTCCCCCTTATTATTTGTAGCATGATGATACCATCTAGTTCGGTGAATTTATTAAATACTTATTTGTAAACGAGAAAAAAAAGAATTAGGTAGTAAAACCCGATGAGGGTATTCAATGCCATCCTAAATTAGCATCCCACAGACATCTTATATCTCATCCATAGAGATTACGAATTTTGGTGGCCAAAATGTGGTTTCCTATATCTATTTAGATGAGGATGGTTGAGCTACGCATGCTAGATCGGTAGCAATAACACGCTAGTTAAAGGGCAGGAGCCAGAGGTTAATTCGTCAACAATAATTATTAATAATCTATCAACCAATGGTGCAGCAGAGTAAAAAAAAAAAAAAAAAAAGAGTTCTGATCAAACTCTACTGATAATCTCTCCACCCTTAAATTAGTTCCTTGAATCCTATACTAGATTCAAGAATTTATGATATTACTTCAAAAAACACCAACTAGTGCTTGAAATCAAATAAGCATTAATAAGTTACACCTTCCCTCGATGGGAAATAACTCTACAACTTATATCAATAGATTTAAAAAAAAAAAGAAATTCATGGGACTAATTGAACAAATTATATCAGTAGTATAAGAAAAAAAAAAAGATTTCAAGTTTTTTGTTGATCAGACAATTAAGCATTAATAAGTAGCACCATTCTTCGCATGAATAATAAGTAGACAAGTTATATCAGTAGGACAGAAAAAAAAAATTTCAAGGTTTTCTTTTATTGATAAGGGGATACTAGAATTTGAACTGGAGATAACGACTTAGATAAGTGCATGTAACTCACAAATGCAAACCACAAAATTTTGAATTGTTACGAAAGTTAAGTTAGAATTTTTTTTCTCTTCCTTTTTGTAGAAAAAAATTAGACTCACTCTATTGTCTTTAAATTTTCCAAATTTCTGATAGGATAATGTAAAGAATGAAAGAATTTGAGAAGATTTAGAAGGAATAAATTTAAAAAGGTAAAGGGATTATTAAAAAAATTTAAAAGGGCACAAATGTAGGAAAAATTACTAAAGGGATAATTTTAGAAACCTCTCCTAAGGTTTTTGACAATTTCACTGTCTTTCCTTAAGGTTCTAAAATATCACTGACATTCCTTGAAACCAATTTTCTTGTAACAATCTAGTCCAATTAAAAAAAAAACAACAATAAAAATATGATTTTAGGTGTGAAAAGATTTATTTATACCAAAAGTCCTCTCAACTATTATATTAGTTAGATTAAATATTTGATCTAACGTGTTAATTTACTTATGGGACCATTACTACACATGGTCAATAAAAAAATTTTTCCATAATAAAAAATAATAACTTTCAAAATTTAACAAAACAATTTTTTCCATACCTTAAGATTCTTGCTTTCACTACAATTATAAGAAAAATTCACCCAACTGAAATCTCTTTATATTTGATTTCTTTTATTTATTACATAAATTGGAAAAAGGATGCCTAGTATTGGATTCTTTTTTTAGATGCCAAATTAGATTTTCTTTTTAACATTTCAAATTATGGTTAATTTAGTTTGTAAATGTCTTAATTGTTTCTTATGTCTAAATCCTTCAAAATTATCAAATGCATTACATTCGATTTCTTTTATTTGTCAAGCATATAAGAATTAAAAAAGAAACACCTAATATTGGCTTTATTTTTAGATAGCAAATTAATTAACCTTTTACAATCCAAATTATGGTTAATGTAGCTAGCAAATGTTTAACTCTTTTCCTTCACATGTATGTCTAATTATTCTAAATTATAAGGATAGTTGAGTCCTTTAGTCATTAGTGATTGTAAGCATTGGATCCTAAATGACTGATAAGGGTTATTAGTGAAAATTTTAAACCTTTAGAAGAGGACAGTGAAATTGTCAGAAAACCTCAAGGGAGGTTTCTGAGATTGTCCCTTAATAAAATTAAAAAATTTTGCTAACCCAATATATAATTTTTGAAGCTGATGGAGGTCAATGCCCCACACTGATTGATCCAAGGACACTGACATTTTTCACGTGGAAACTTGCAATCGTGCACGACTTGACTTTGTGCACCCATCCCTAAAGGTCGGGTGAAAAATGGTAAAAGATGTGGAAATTATCTTTTGCAATAATTGAGCGGGAATCACGACAACTTGTGGAGCCAAAGTTTAGCACGTGCGTATTAAACAGTGATTAGGTAAGAGCTATGGCTTAAATCGTGATTAAAATTGAAGACGACGTAGGAATTAGCCAATTAGGATTCATTAGCGATGTTTCTTGTGCTCTTTTTGCAGGTAGGCACCTTTCACATGCATGCCATTCATCTCGGTCTAGGAATAATGTTTGAAAGTCTTCCGGTTAATTAATGAAAAATGTCATAAAAGAGTGATTTTTAAGGACTTTTCTAGCTGGCGCTTAAATTATACCTAACATATTATATGCATGCATACAGAAATAAAATAATTATCTTATATTGCATTTATAAATTTATTTTATTTAATTTTATATTTTAAAATATTAACACTTGAATTACATTTCAACGAAGATAATTATGGCAGCTGATGGTCCCATTGTAGTAATTTGATTGCCACACCACATTTTCAAATGAAATATTGAATTTATACTTTATAATCAATCAGAAGAGTTGCATGTGTGGCAAAATTCAGAAGTTTAGTGGGATTGGATTGTGACTTGTGAGTCGCGACAATCAAATTACTATTGTGGTATTGTCAACAGTGGACGAGTAGATAGTTGTAGCTTTCTGAAAAAATGAATAAAAGGAAATGTAGGAGCTAGTTGTTCTGCACAAGTAGTCTAATAATCCAATTGCGTTTTACTGCAGAAGGGCACTAGTACGACGTATCACATGGCATGGTTCAAAAGTTTCAATAGGTAATTATACCATCGTACGAAGGATTTGCCAGGATTAATTTTTTTTGCCTCGTGGAGATTAAGCTGTCTATTTGCTTGCCACCCGGCCGTACGGATAAAAAGAGAGAAACGGAAAGAAATAAGGGAAAAGAGTCCAATGATCCTCCAACTCTTTTCCGGATAAAGTTTTAACCCTTCAATAATTAACAATAAAGGTTTGGCCCTCGATCTAATAAAATAGTATATTCGTGGTCCTTCTGTCAAATCTAACAATTAAAATTAATAGGAAACATCTTTTCATAAGACACGCGACCAAATATCAAGGGTATTATAGTCTTAATGGTTTACCAAGCACCTCTTCCCCACCGACCCCTCCACCACCCCACCACCTGTGCCACCGCCACGGCTGCCGTTGCTCTTGCTTCTCCTCACGATAATAAGCAGCATGACTACAGGGATGATTTCCTTGTGAGCCTGAGTTTGGCTGTGAGGACTCTAAGGGAAGACCTCCCTCTGCTCTTTGCCAAAGACCTCAATTTAAAAAAATAAAAATAAAAAGGCTAATTACCTGTAAGAAGTATTTAGTGTATTTAGTGGTGGCAGCACTAGCAATCCAAGGCCAGAGATCAACACCCTCCTTCCCAATTGGCCTAGTGATAACATATCCTTGATCTCCTTTACTGCGTTGGAGAGCCTACCCTTGATCCCCTTCCTCCTTGCCTACCTGAATCTGCCATCTTGGACACTAAGAAGGGCTCGCTTACGACATAACGATTGATCGCCGGGGCTGGCAGCGGAGGCTTAGGAGGTAATTTCCCAGGTGGGCTACGCGGCGGGAAGGTTTGCTCCTCTCTTGGGGTTGGAATTGGGGAGGACATATGAGTAAGAGATATGTGATTTGAGGAAATTGATGATCCCTCGGGTGAGTAATCCGGAGAAAAAACTTAATTGAAACCTAACCTGTATTGTTCAGTGTGAAGAAGCTTCCGAGCACCAAATATATCAGAATTTTCAGTCGGGACCTCATAAAGCCGAACTCCTTGTTCAAATTTGACCCCTTTAAAGTGGTTCCTCACAGAAGCCACAATGACTTGAATAAATCTAGTAAAGGCACTTCCTATTGGCTTTTGGTAACGATATTTTGAGAAGTCCGCGACTAAGATGACGATAGAGCAAAACATTGCCACAGTTGGAACCGCACATCCCCAGCTCCAGCCCTTCTTCACTTGCACATAAACTAGAAGAGTAATACCTAAGAGTGCACCCATGTTGATGGCAAAGAAAAACCAATTGAAAAATGAATACTTCTTTTGAGGAATTGGGGAGGACCCAAGGCTGCAGACAACGACGGTTTTGGCACTCATGCTCTCGAAGACCACGACAGATAGCAGAAGGGAGCTTGTTGAGCCTACCCTTGATCCCCATCACCGAAATGATGTAGAGGTTCTTTGCCCTATTGTTTTCGGCTCAGTTCACCGTTACCGCCGCCAGAAGACCCAACGACATCCTGAACTTGTTCTTTGGAAAAGAGACCATAATGCCCTTGATATTTGGTCGCACGTCGCACAAGATAATGCTTCCTGTCAATTTTAACTGCTGAATTTGACATAAGGACCACAAATATGCTATTTTATTATATCAAGGGTCAAAACGTTACTGTTAATTATTGGATGACTAAAACTTTACCTGGGAAAGAGTTGGAGGGCCATTGAGACTCTTTTTCCAAGAAATAACTTGTATTGTATGCATTGAACATCTTACTGACATAGATAATGAATAAGTAGAAATTAATATCATTCATTTCAAAAGCAATTAATATTTTTGGCTAATAATTATTCTAAAGCATACTATCAATTTGCCCAAGAAATCACTTGTACCTCGTAATACAAAAGATGCCATGGAAAATACCTAGTAACGCAAAGGATGCCATGGAAAAGGTATAAAATATCGTGAATATATTTGGCATTAGAATAGCTATCCCACCCATTTTGATAAGATAAACAAGAAGTATATCATCAAAAAAAAAAAAAGGAAGCAGAAGAAGAATAATCTCAACTCTTATGTGTGCTTGAGAAGGGTGTTTTTTAAAGAGTTTTTAACATGCAAGTTTTTTTTTTTTTTAATGATTTTGTCTATAGGAGCCCCTTATAAATATCCCAAAATTTTAAAATACACACCCTAAAATAAATATGGATGGGGGCAGGATGAAAGGAGATGAGAAGAAGGAAATAGGAGGGAGAGGAGAGGATGGGAAAGAGGGTGGAGGAGAGAGAGGGAGAGATGGCGACCGGCGTGGTGATAGTGGAGAGAGAGGAGGAAGGTCAAAATAAGAGTGGAGAAGAAGAAAAAAGAGGAAAGAAAGGGAAAAAAAGGAGAAATTTTTCAATTTTCTCAAATCTTATATATACAAAAAATTTTCTACAATTTTTATAATAGATTATAGTAAAATTTTATATAAACACCAAAAAAATACACCATACAAACAGACCCCATGATCAAGGTAGGGACTAGAAATTGCTGTACCCATATCCGGCTCGAAAATATCCTAAGTTCACCTCGTTTCTTTCAATTATTGAACAAGTTTTTGGCCTATCAAATATCTTTTTATTTTAAACTGAAATTTTCATTTCCAATGGTGTGTGTTTATGGTAAATTTGGACTGGAATACGTAGTTTTGCATTGACATTCGAGTTGCAAAAGTGGAACTCAAAAATGGGGAGTTAATGTTGCCTTTTGCATTCACATTGTATGGTATCATACTTGCTTCTTGAGTTCAATTGTTTTCTTATCAATCTTAGCAACTGCTAAGACCGTAACCCATACGGCATCATTCGATCGCCGTTGCACTAAAGAACAATAGAAGGAAGATTTGATGGGCAGTATTTCCTCGGTGGTAGGTAATGTCTGAAATCTTTTCCGTCGGCCCAACGAAGTAAGACGGCCCTGAACCAGGAAAAGAAAGAAAGGGCCCTCATTTTCAAAGTCGCCCCATTTTTCCTCATTTCCCAAAATTAACTACCGAGTCGTATGTTATTGTATTGAGTAAAATCCGATTGGAACTAACAAAAGTTGGCGCCTAAACTTACCTCCCTAATATCTGACCACTATTTTTCCCCCACAAGAACGACTTGCGTATTATGGTTTTCTCCTAACCTCGTTTTATCTCATTTTTATTTATCTCTATAGTTACCACAAAAGTACTGAAAATCCGAATTCAGGAAGTCAAACCGACCTTGTTTGGACTTCAAATTCTATACTTCATTGCTATTAATTAGATGATGATATCTTTGTCATTTGATCAAACAGATCCTTTACTGTAGGACGAATTCATTTCTTTTATGTCACCTCTGACATTTAATCCAGTATTAGAAGTTTTGTTTTAGGTGTTCTAGATAAACTATCATTGATTTAAAATTTTTTTACAATTTTGGGGCATGTCAAGCTCAAATAAGAGGATCCTTGTGCACATTGGAATAGGATCATTTTCAATTCTTTCCTTTGAGTTTATGATTCTTCAAACAAATCAAATCGCTCAGATTTCAGCCTTAATACTTACTGTTCATTTGTTTCAGCTCGAACGGATTGAAAGCTTTCAAGGGCTGCTGGGAGAATTTTCTCCCATTTTGCTGTAAATGCCATTCTTCCGCGTACATCCTTGTGGGGTAAATGACCCTGATATCGATGATAGCCTTCAACATAGGGTTGTAATCGAGTCAAGTCGAGCCCGAGTATCGCCATACTCGAGCTCGACTCGACATAGAGATAGGGGTGCTCGAACTCGAGCTCGAGCTCGAGCGAGTAGTATTATTGCAGCTCGAGCTCGAGCTCGAAACTTGCTCTCAGTACTCGAGCTCGACTCGCATGGGCTCGAGTCCATTCGAGCATTCGAGCCTTATTGAGCTCTATCAAGCTCGAGTTATTAAATTTCATTTTCTTGATAAATTTTGAGTGAAAAGTCATTATTGCTCTTTTAAAATTTTTATATAATTTGAAACATTTCGTAAATTCGACAATTTTTTTGGGCATAATGGTAATTTTATATATTAAATAATATATAATTTTAATAATAATATATTAAATAATTAAAATTAATATGCTCGATAAGGCTCGTCGAGCCTCCGAGCATCTCTTCTGGATGCTCGAGCTCGACTCGATAGCCTTATCGAGCTGCTCGAGCTCGACTCGAACTCAATTTGATCGAGTTCGAGTCAAGCTTTTGATCAAGTTGCTCGCGAGCTGCTCGGTTCGATTACAACCCTACTTTAACACACATGAAAGAGTCAGTCCAAGAACGAGGCTTCATGGTTCATTATCAACAGTTATTTATCCGAAAATTTACCTTCTTTTCCTCCATAATCTGTACAAGGTTCCCAGAAAGGGGGTGTGAAAAAGGTACTGTAATTGATTGAACACACATAAATGATAGTACAGTGATATTGAATAAAACAACACAAAAAGTCATTGCTAGAATATTGGACTATTTAATTAAGATGAACTGCCGTACGTCCCAACATTAAGAAGAAGACCACAAGGCTGTTGCCACAATCTTTTTTTTTTCTTAGTTATTTTGGCTATTGCTATAATTGCTGTAATACTTTTTATGATGTGATATATATAAATTAAAAATATGATTAAAATTTATGAAAAAAATTATTTTATCTCAAATCATCTCAATCCAAACACACTCAAGTTTTTTGAGGACCGAATCATGGTTAACCTTGGTAGTCGGCATTCTAGATATAGGGATTGCAGCTAATTATTTGTTTTTTCTATAATCCTATGGGACAATTTCCATCCCAAGTCTCCTTCAATCTTCCTCATGGTGAAGTCTTTGTAGAAAAGGATAGTGCATGTGAAACCAGTGGCGGAGCCATGTGACAACAAGTGGAGTCAATCGATCCAACTTAATTTTGGAAAAATCTAGGTTTAGAGAAATTTTAAAGTTACCTCTTATTTGAACTCACTAAATTTTAACAAATTCTTTTTTCTATATATATTGACCCCCAAATAATTGAAAATTCATAATTGTTACCATCACAATAATTCTCTTTGCCCTTCAATACAGATAGTTTAGCCTTTCATTAACTTTTAAAGCCATTGATTTCACTTTGTGGATTCCCAAGTTGGCGAAGTTCATATTTCCTCAGCGTCTAAGCGATCAATTGATTTCAAGCCTTCGCGAAGGCTGCAATTTTGCTCAGGTATTTGAGTGCGCTGTCAAGAAATATGAGAGAAATGGGTGTCTTACTAAAGAGACGTAAACCTGATATGGCCTCAATTCAGTCCATGGAACCTGGACTGTATGCTGTGATTTTGACCTCCTGCTGCTGAAATAATTCACATTGCAACGACTATTGCACAATGAAAAAAAAAAAAAAAACTGTGACTCAAATAATCCGCTTGAATTTTGCTCTTCTTATCTCTCTCTTTTTTTTTTTTTTTTATCAGCAACGATACATTTGTATAATCTACTCTATTCTAATCTAGGGGAGAGGGGAAGTCTAAGGAGGCTGTGGTAAGGGATTAGTGGGTACACAGATCCAATTAGATCAAGAAAGTGCTCTGGTACAACCCTTAAATTTTTTTTCGCTACAGATAAGATTTGAACCCTCACCTACAACTCAAGGAGGGATTTAAACCCCTCCCCGGTGATGGTTACCGAGCCATTGGCCCAGTGGCTCCCTTCTTATCTCAGGTCGCGACAACTGACAAGTTCCTGGGCAGTCACTTTAAAAGGTGTGTTGGTGACACGTGGCCTTCTACTAACTTAACATAGCAACGATACATTTGTATAATCTACTCTATTCTAATCTAGGGGAGAGGGGAAGCCTAAGGAGGCTGTGGTAAGGGATTAGTGGGTACACAGATCCAATTAGATCAAGAAAATGCTCTGGTACAACCCTTAAATTTTTAAGCCTAATACACAGAAAAGCCCCCTATGGTTTCAAAATATACAACGCGACACCTCGTGCTTTGAACTAAATTGTAACATTGACGAAAATCGGTAAAATTAACGGAACTGATGTACTGTAAGCTAAAAACAAATTCTTTATACTGTATAGAACATCAGCAACAGTAGGACGAAGGGGTCCTTTTGCTGGTGAAATTGTTCCACTCACAGGCTGCAATTGAAGTAGAAAATATGAATGTTTGAAGGAAAAATGCTTCATTAAATCACTTTTGCATTACATGAAATCCAACCTGAGAACATGATTGTCTAGCAGGCACATTTTTTGCTACACTCGCAATTGTTGGCTGCGTATACTGCTTCCCGGGCCTACAGCTTTTTTTTTTAAACAGGTGCAGCTTGTTCTTGGGACTGGTTGCGGAGGTACCATTGGTGAAGGAGCTGATGAATGAAGTTTTGAACTTGATTCAGCTACATTAGTGTCAGGTGCCTATAAAAAAACAAGTTCATTTTAATGTTCAATTAAAATGATTTGGGACAGCAATTAGTCTCAGCCTATGAAATCTGTAAGCTATGTTACCTTGTAGAATTTAGAGTT